TTTTTTTTTTTTTTAGGTTCTCGACGCAACTAGCAATGAGCCATGGGGCCCTCATGGGTCACTTCTAGCCGATATTGCTAATGCGACAAGAAATTAGTAAGTTTGGATCAATCCAATGTAGACTATCACGATCCCTACTTTATTTCTTTTGTTTTGAAAAGTTACTAATTTGTGAGTTCTGACAGTCACGAGTATCAGATGATCATGTCGGTTATCTGGAAACGTACAAATGATACTGGGAAAAATTGGCGGCATGTATACAAGGTTTGCTTCTAATGATATAGAACTGCTCATTATTGGTTGCACCATGTTTACATTATACAAGCCCAACCATCAAGATCAAGGTTGGGGAGATTCAATTATTTGTTACGCCTCCCATCTCAGCTGTAGTCTCATCTGTACCACACAGTGATTAAAAGGCATTCGACGCCATGACATGAGGTGAGTCTTTTGTGCCTCGAATAGGCGTAGCATGGCACTCTTGAGAAAGCCATCCCCAAGGCGCAGGCCTTATTCGAGGAGAGGCGAGGCGTGCGCCCCAAAGAACCGAAGCGAGCAGGGCATGTTAGAGCGGCTACGTGGTTGATATGTCATTTTTAAATTACACATATTTTCTCAAACAAAACCCTAAAGGCTAGATTAGCTTGTGCCTTTTCTTCACCTGACTAACGCGACCGGATTCCGACAACTGCGGAGACAGCTCTGTGTTTCCCCGTTTTGTTTGGCCTTTTCTCCATTGTTCTTTTTCGGCGTTTTCCCTTCTCTTCTCTTTTTTTCTGTCTGATTCACTTATGTCCAGTGATGGGCATCGCCGGCTCTGCTGCTGCTGGAGGTGATTCCACAGTTCTGCCTGCAGCCCCGTTTTTTTACCTGCTGCTGGTAGCTGTGATTTCTTTTTTTGTATTGCTACTGGTCAGTTTTATTAATGGCGGGTGGCAGTACATGGTGGTTTGCTGAAATTCTCCCATGGCGGCCTATGACGCTGCCATGACCGTCATCCTTCACAAATTTTACATGGTGGATTGTCAAAAATCCGCCACACCATACTGCCATGGCCGCCATTTGATAACACTGCTGCTGGTGAAGTGGGATTGGTTTTAGTTTTTCTTTTATCTTATACCAATTAGATCATAAAGTCTGGGTTAACTTTTCAGTTTTTCATATTGGCCCACCTCGCTTCACTTGGCTAATAGGAATGTTGTCGCCTTGGCTCGCCTCACGCCTTTTTAATCACTGCAACCATGTCTAATTACTTTTGTATATTTTTCTAATTTAACGGACATTCTAAGTAGACCACAGTGTAATGCGTTTTTTGCATCTGTCTCTAAAAGATTCAGCAGCTGCCTTTTTAGTAACTAAATAATTCTTCTCATTTTTGCAGGCTTTGACTGTTTTAGAGTACTTGGTAGCCCACGGGTCAGAACGCGTCATAGATGACATCAAAGAACACGCATACCAAATATCTGTTAGTTCTTTATCTTCTGGTTTGTTCTTGACATATTTCCGAAAAGTGGTTTAGCACTTTTATAATTTTTTTTCTCGTGATAGACATTGTCCGATTTCCAATATATCGATTCCAGTGGGAAAGACCAGGGGAGCAATGTTAGAAAGAAATCTCAGAGTCTTGTAGTGCTGGTTAATGATAAGGAAAGAATACAAGAAGTTCGACAGAAGGCTGCTGTTAATAGAGACAAGTAAGTGAATATTATAAATTGTTAAAATGTGTACTTTCCTAGTATTATGATTCATCGGTTTGTAATTATCTTGCGAATGAATTTCTATGGCAACGGTTATATTCAGTATTGTTTGTTGTATAAGATGTGCATGTCTTCTATGATGATATTGCTGTGTGAAGGGCTGCCTTTGTATCCTTCTGATGGAAGTTGATCTTAATCTTAGTGAATCTTGTTTCTTGGACAACATCCTTTCTAGACTCCTTTACTATGATGTTATGTGTATGTTTGAAAATTTGGAGCTTGCTTTTGTTTGTATCTTGGGTATGATCTATTTGTATTGGTGTATGCAAAGTGGCAAACCTACGTTCAGCTTGTGTAGTTTTTGATTATTTGGAGCTGGTTGATTCTTGCTGCCAAGTTTGAACTATAATATGAGCCAGGGCCAGGGATTCAGGAGAGCTATGGGAATTGGACTTTTCATATGCCCTTCATTTTTTGTGAACTTTCTGAATGCGTTCTATTGGAAATGTGAATCTCCTGGGATCCTGGATGGATGGTGTATGTGAAGTTCCCTCCATTCCTAAGTGAGAATAAATGTGGTCATTAATGTACTTTACATATGGATTGGAATCTTTGGGGATTTGTGCTTTTCTATGGCTGGGTGCTTATTAGAAGGAAAGAGGAAATGGGAGCATAATAAAATATGGTTTTATGCTGTACTTTGAATAAGATTTGGTTGGAACGAATGTGGAAGCTTTGCCTGATCATAGACAAAGAATGGGAGTACTTACTTTCCAAATACCAACAATAGACACATTTTTTTTAGTCTTATTGATGTCAGGAATAGCATATTCCATGTTCATTAGGGGTCAACACTTTTTGTTAGTCCTAGGGTTAGGAGTAGTTATTTTCCATATTTCCTGAGTTTTTAGCCACCAATATATAGGAGGCTGTCTCCATTATCATAATATAGAGTTGATTAATAAAAATTAAGAATTTATCTCTCAAATTGTGAGTGAATTTCAAGGCTTCCAGAACAACAATTCTTGTTGCAGTTATTGACTTATCAAGCAAATTGGCACACTTGCTTGTGGCGTTCAACATATTGTTTCCAGGTCGTATGCACAATTGTTGCTACGGTAATGTCAAAAGAAGGCAGATTCAATTCAATGAATCATGAGCATGGTGAACGTTTCTTTTTGTTTGCGATACACCTTGTTAGATTTTATAAGATTGGAAGCTGAAGCTTTCACGTCCTGCACAGCATCTGCAATTTGGTTGCCCAAAAATCAAGTAGTGTTTAGTGATAGTTGTTTAGGAACCGGTTGACTGTGGCTTGTTCATTATATCTTAACATTGGAAGCAATTCGGTGCATTCTGGATTTTGCCCTGAGTTCATTGTTTTCTCATGCTGCGAGTGTTATGAGCTTGAAGAATGGTGGAGTCCAGATATAATTTTTTTAAAGCTATATCTTCAAAGGCAATATATATAGATATTTCTATGACGACCTTGCACATAGAGGAATTGTTTTCCCAGTTTCCATGTAAATAACTTGGGCTGCTGCAAACTCTGTTGAGTTTCAAGATTTTTCTTGTGATTGCCAGTGGAAGATGAAAGTTTAACTGTCATTTGTCTAAATGAAGGCTCCTTAGTGACTGCAGTACTTCATAATCCTTGAAATACATTTACTGAAATTTCGTACATAGAAATCGGCAATGTACAATTTACTCTGGAGGAGATTCTATTTATTTGTATTTCTTAATCTTTCACGTGTGTATTCGTCACTTTAAAGTCTGTTCTCAAATATTAGTTTGTATCTAAATCATGATAATTTCATTCTTGACGAGGCCACCAAATTCTTCACTAGTGTATTTCTCGCAGTGATTAGCTTAAATCACTTAAATTTTGATTTTCTATAAATAACTTTGAATTTCGTGTGATCGAAATGGTTATAGGTACCGCAGTACCCCAGCGGGTGGTATGTATCGTCCTGGCTCCGGAGGGTATGGAGATAGATATGACGACGATCGATATGGAAACAGAGATGATGACCGGAATAGCTATGGGAGGGAGAGAGAATGGGGTTCAAGAGATGATGATAGATATGGCCGTGATGGGGACAGGTATGGTAAAGATTACGAGGAGCGTTCTGGCCGAGATGGGTACAGGGAAAATGACTACAGAGGGAGAGGGCAAAGCACCGATGAATATAGTTATGAGTCAAGAAGTAGAAGTGCTGATCGAGATAGGAGTCGCTCAAGTGAGGATGATGGCCAATACTCTTCCAGGTTAGTTTAATTCTTATATCTCCAAATGGCCAACTATATATCGAAATCATTAATATATTTTTTGTACCTAATTTCATTTTATATTTATTATATCCGTAATGTGGGTATCAATGGCGGGTGGTGGGCTGATAAGAGTGATAAGTACAGAAATTAATGGCTATTTAATAGGTATTCAGGCATACACTTACAACTTAAAGTTGTAGACCTATACTGGGACTTCATATGTTAATATGAGGTTAGTGTTGTAGTTCAAGTTAGAATTATGGCCTTTATATATAGAAATTATAGGACGATGTGATTGCAGGTTTCAGTTTAAGGCTGTATTTCTAGGAACCAATGTAGATCGATTTAATTTCAAATCGATTTTCATGGATTTAATATCAAAGCTGGATGAGTGTATTCAACATATGTAAATCAGCTTGAGCAGTTCTTGATACCAAAAAAAAAAAAAAAAAAAAAAAAAATCAGCTTGAGCAGTTCTTGATACAAAAACTATCTGGTTGTCTTGCCATCAAATAAATATTTAGTTGTACATTATTTGATTACAACTTCAAGTTGCCTTGTTGTAGGTATGTGCTAAATACTGTTCTTTAGTGTCTGAATAACTTTCCTGAAGTCAGTGTTATTAGGGGAGGGATGTGACCCAAGGAATACATCTGAATTCCTTTCCTTAATTTTTTTTTGTCCTGAAGCACACTTCTAATCATACTACTATAGTGCTCTTCTAACTACTTAAACAATCTAGAATATTCCCAGAAAAATACAAGGGTTTCATTTGAGAGGAAAACCAATTTATATGTTGGACAACTTTTTATGGTTTATTTTTATTTGTAACTTTGTCTAACTTCTATGATTTTTTCTTACTTTTAATAATGTTAAACTAAATATTAATAATTTTATATGTATGTTTCTGATTTTTCAATTTTCTGGTTAATTACTTATATCATAATTTGTTTTTTCTATCTATATTTTGCGCTCCATGTTCAAGATGCATCTTGCCTCTAATAACATTCTCTAAGACAGTTAACTGGGTTTTCTTCATTGATTGTTGTGTGCATTTTTTTTTTCAATTTAATAACATCAAGTTCAAGTGAGCGAGTTCAACACTTATCTGTGGTGGCACACAACTGAATAATGAAAATAAAGCTGGCTAGAAATGATGCGAACTCCTAAACAATGTCCACTTTAATGAAAGAGCTTAGCAAACAACTATGAGGTAGTTGATATATCCAATTACCCATTAACATCTTTAACTCCAATCTAAGTGGAACCATCTGATCTAAGACTGTCTCTATTTTACTCCACTGTGTTCGCATACCAGAATAATTGTTGTCTATATATGGTGGCAGTATGTTATTCATTTCTAGTAATACTATCCTATCAACAGTCCCTAATCGCTTTGAGTGTGCTGTATATGTGACAAAGTCTTGACTTCACAATTATACTTGCCCCATTTGCAGAGGAAGTGGTGCCAAAGCTGATGATCAGTCTCAAGATGGAAGGTATTTAGATTTGTGGGTCTGGTTGTACTGTATTGCTGCTTGGACCTATAAACAACTATATAGAGTGGAATAAACTCAACTAATTTGATTTTCCTAATCAGTTCTACTGCCAGGAGTCTTGACCGTAAATATTCTGGGCAAAGCTTTGGTGTACCTCCTAGTTATGAGGATGCTGTTGGTGGTAGCCGCAGTCCACCTTATAGTGAAAGGTGACTGCTAATATCCATGGGCTGTCAGCAGTTTGGCTAATTTATTGATTGGTTCTAACTTTGTATCTTAACAGGGATGGAGATTCTTCACTAGGATATGCCCCTAAAGCTTCATCCCCCAAAGGTGCTAGTCCAAGCTATGCAACAAGTGCGGGGGCTTCACCCTCTGCTCCAGTTTCACCTCCTGCTTCAGTATCAGCTCCTGCTTCCGTAATCACTCCTGGTTCAGCACCGACACTTGCTTCAGCACCTGCTGTTGCTCCAGCTCAGCTTACAACTCAAAATAGCCGCAAGGAAGCTGATGGTTTTGATGAATTTGATCCGAGAGGTTCATTTTCAGGTAAATCAATCAGTAAAAGTATGGCATTAGGTGATTGTATTAAGAGGTTTTCAAAACTGTAGATGATTCAGCATACAAGTTTGATATTAGGAGTTGCTTAAAATTTGGGGTAGTAATTTTAATGTGTATTTTCAGAGAAATTTTATGGCAAGCTGATTGGAAACACGAAACACTTGCCAAAGAAAAAAAAAATGTTTTATAGTAAAGCTATTTGATCCGAGAGGTTCCTTTTCAGGTTAATCAATCAGTAAAAGTGTGGCATTAGGTGATTACATTAAGAGGTTTTCAAAACTGCAGATAATTCAGTATACGAGTTTGATATTAGAAGTTGCTTAAGATATGGGTAATGATTTTAATGTGTATTTTCAGAGAAATTTTATGGCAGGCTGATTGAAAACACGAAACACTTGCCAAAGGAAAAAAAAAAAAAAACAATTGTTGTTTTTATAGGAAAGCCTTTTCTCATGTTACTATTATATTTGTTGTGTATAATTTTCATGAGTAACTACTTGACTGTGAACTTAATATTTGAGATCGATAATGGAACCCCAAAATGACCGCCTTTCTGGAGCATGCATTCTTTGAAATGTGACATGAGCATGACCAATGCATTCATTTTATCGAATGAAATTGGCTTCAAATTTCTCTTTGAGTTCTCAAAACTGAAGTAAATTACTGGGGTAATTACATGGAGTACTGAATCTGAATTGTCATCTTTGTGTGGAAACTTTAACATATTGTTGACGATATTTTTTGTTACTTTGGTGTTTTTAGTGTGTGTGTGTGTGTATATATATATATTGTTTTATGGTGAGAAAGCATGCAACTTCGCTTTTACGATATAATCATTAATTCCCACATTGGTTTTTCTAATCCTTATTCAAATATACGTCTGATCCCTTTTATGGTGAGAATTGCTTCATGTAGAACGTTTGTCAATTTGAAGCGTACAAATTTCCTCTCGAGTAAGTTTGCCGTTTAAGTCAACCTTGAAGATGTGGAAGAGAATTTTATTTAAATATTTAAGTTACTAAAAACCAATGTTCTAGAAGTCGCCACACACCCGTTAGGCGCTAGACCAACGTCTAGTGCCTAGGCGGGGCCTAGAAATTAAGATTAAATACCTTATTTTTATTTATTTTCACCACCCACACACTTAAGTCCAAATAATAATATTAATATATTATAAAAAAACATGATAACAAAATAAATTAATTAATCTTTAAAAAAGAAAACTTGAAAAATTGCCGCCGAGCCCACTTAGGCGCCACCCAGCCGCGTGGCCGAATTTTTCAGCCGATTCATGCAAATCGGAGGCGGCCAGGCGGCGCCTAGCTCCTGGCGGCCACCTAGGCCGATTCTTAGAACAATGCTAAATACTCTCCCTTGAGCATATCTCGTAGTTGCTTTTTTCCCACTCCATTATACATTATGACTAGCGAGTTCTTATTGTTGCTTGATTGAGAATTTTCCCTTATATTGGGGTATCAGGGTTGTATGCTATGATATATTTGGAAACTCAATTTCTTTTCAACTTCTAATTGATAGCTGCCCCAGTTACATCCAATGGTGCTATATCTGCTACTTCTGCTGCGGACATGGACCTACTGGGCTCTTTGTCCGAATTTGCTCTTGTGCCTGTTAGTCAGCCCACCTTGACTCCTGAAGCTAATGCCTCTTTGGACTTCAGTTCTCGACCTGCAAACCCAGCTGCTGCATCACCGGAAGCCACAATCAATAATCAGGTACTCGTCTATAATATTTTGCACTTCTTAATTTTTTATGCATTTGCATTTGCATATGAGATGTGTGAATAACCACCTACTCCCCCGACAGGGAAATGAAATAATATCCTAAGAGATAAATGGGAAAAGAAAAGAAAAAATCAGGTGGCTGGATTAACCTTTTGCTGTTTTTGAGAATGGGAAAAGAAATGTAATCTGTACACCTGTGAGCCAACGCACTGTTTGGTCTGAAATTTGTTTGTTTGTTTGTTTTTTTGTTTTGTTTAGTTTTGTTTTGTTTTGTTTTTTTTATTCAATCATCCTGTATGAAAGGATTATTAATTTATCAATGATTTAATGGTATGATGTTACCTTGCGAAAGATGTAACTTGGCTTGTTCTTTGATCGTTAATTCTCCTCTAGTCCATTGAAAGTTAATATTATATTTTTGACCGCATATATTTTTTTTAGAGTATTTTGCGCGTGGTACGATGATGCTAGCCGCAACTAGTATGAAACTTGAGGTCTGGAAACGGTTGTTTCCCTCACTTATAAGCAGCTTCTCAATTTCTTGGGGAAGCCTCGAGGTGCTACTTTTGGTTTTTACACCATGGGGAAATGCACGATAAGATGAAATAGCGTGAAAACTGTTATCTATGTGACCAAAACCAAATCCTTCCAGACCATGCATAGAATAGTTGCTTCTTGTAGCCTTTTTTATAAGTCCCGTCCTTGCACCCTTCTGCTAAAACTATTAGCTGCATGAATGTTTGCATGAGTTCTGTCACGAGGAAGGAATGTTGCTGATTCCTCCTAACATGGATTGTAGTTCTACAGTTTCTGACCCTAACAAGTAACTCATACAATGTGTGGTTAAGACTATGACAGCAGGCAGGTACCTATAAGCTTTCTGTGGGAACTGTTCAATTGTTCAAGGCTTCTTGTGTAGTAGACCATAACTAGAATACATTTCTTCATGTAGCATTTTCAATAATTTACTGAAGTTGTAAAGTATGTTGAGGACGTTTGTAATGTACAGCGTTGAAGGAAAGTGGTGATACTGTTACCTCATACGGTCACTGTTTTCTCAAGCTTTTGCTATATCCTCAAATCCCCATTTTGTTTTTCCATGAATAGTCATGCTTCGTTGTCAATTTTTTATTGGGGAAGTACATGTTGCCCCTGCTTCCTTTCCCCTATCAAATTCTATCATGGCAGTTGTGAGGACATTGAACATTATGTTCTTTACCACCCAACAATGGTCTAACAATATGGGCCTTCTTTTGCAGGCATTTGATGATCCTTTTGGAGATGGTCCATTTAAAGCTATTCCTTCAGCCGATAGTGTATCAACTCAACAAGAGATCCCTGCATCCACTAACGCCTTCAATACAAACTTTGGCCAAAGCATCGATGTGCCTCAACAAGTTCTTCACAAGGCAGCAACTGAAATTGGAAGTAATCCATATGAAGAAACTTACATGACATCAGGCAATTCTGGCGTGCAGCCTCTCCCTGCAAGCACACAGTTTGTGAAACAGGAGCTATCTAATCCGAGCCAGGAACTTGATATATTAGCAGACATTCTTCCCCCGTCCGCACCTTCATCTTTTGCCAACGCACAACCCGGATATCAGCTTCCACCGAACCAGTCTGTGCTGCTTGCTGGTGTCCCTCAAACCGATCAAGCTCCACCGCCTACTGGTTTTCCTCAAACAGGCCCACAACCCAGCAATTTGCAAGCACAAAGCGGCCTTCCTTCTGGTTTTCATAATCAACTTGGCCAGTTTTCTTCACAAACTGGTTACCCTCTTCAGTCAACATCCTCTCCACAAACCGGTTTTCCGACTCAAGGCATAGCTTTGTCCTACCCAATTCAAGGTGGGCAACCACCACAGATGGGTTTTCAACCTCAAAGTGGCCCCACACAGCCAAATCCCAATTTTTATGGAGCGTACAATTCACAGCCTGCGTCTACCGGTCCAGTTGGTGGATACATGGCTCCTCCTGCTTCCGCTTCCGCTGCTCAGAATAATTTTCTGTCACAGTTGGGAGGTTCTGCAGCTCTCAATTCGAGCAACCTCTTGGGCCCAACATCCATTAATACATCTTCAACCGGGTCTTCTGCTATAGCTCCTCAACCATCGAAAGACAAGTTTGAGACGAAGTCCACTGTCTGGGCTGACACTCTCAGCCGTGGACTTGTCAATTTGAATATATCCGGACGTAAGTTTTTTCACATTTCTAATTTGTTTTATTTAAATCTATGTATAGGATAGTGTTTTATTTCCTCATTCTTGGTTTCTGTTAAAATAAAATTTCAGCTAAGACAAATCCACTGGCTGATATTGGAGTTGATTTTGACGCAATAAACCGGAAAGAGAAAAGGATGGAGAAGCCGACAGCAGCAGCAGCAGCAGTAACATCTACATTGACGATGGGGAAGGCCATGGGATCTGGTTCTGGCATGGGACGTGCGGGTGCAACTACTCTCAGGCCTCCGGCAAATTCAATGATGGGTCCCATGGGAATGGGAGGCTATGGGGTGGGTCAACCAGCTGGGAGGGGAATGGGAATGGGAATGGGGATGAATATGCCTGGTAATATGGGTATGGGAATCAACATGCAACCACCGATGGGGGCTCCTCCTGGGTCTACCTTGCCTGGACCTTATAATCATATGGGAAGCGGAGTTTACGGTCAACAGCCCTATGGTGGGGGCTATCGATGAGCGTAAGGCCCCCGCCTGGAATAAGTGGTAATCGAGAAGCTGGTATTGCCAGTTTTTATATAAGGAAAATGAGTCAACCATAAAAGGTGATTTTACTTACAATTGGATATATATAAGATTTCAATCTACAAAGTGTCTTCTGTTCACTTTTGATTTTCGTGCTGCCTGTGTGTAGAATGTTTGTGTATTCATTGTTTCAGGGTTTTTTGTTTACAGTTTACCTCTGCAATTTTTGGGTCACCATGAGCTCTAGGTGCCCCTTGGTTCTTATCCGTTTAAATGAGATCTTGTATATTATAAACAAATTTCAAGGGCAACCTTTTTTGGTTTGCCCTTTTTTGTTATGACAGACGTCCAGTTCGAGGAACTGAACAATGCATTGAATAAATTCCAGCAATTGATTTATTTCCAAGCCTTTTGTGTGTGTGTGTGTGTGTGTGTTTTGGCTTCATCTATAGTTAGTACGTGTATACCTTTCTTTCAACTGATTGATCAGTTTTGGGAGCTTCACATTTCAAGGTCTGATGCAGTAACTCGTATCGTATGTTTTTTTTTTTTTTGGTCGTTAAATTAAATTTTTATAAATCAAAATCGTTTCTACATCAACCGTCTCACGGCAAACTAGAGTAAAGTGGGCGACCACAATCCGATCCCTCACTTGCTAGTCAACATAAAATAAAGAGAGGCAAACCACACTCTATTTAAGGAGGCTAGTCCAAATCATTTCCGAGGGCTTTTCTCTCCATGTCAGCAAGTACATTCGGGTACAAAGCAAATATATTCATATAGACATGGGTTTGAATCTTCCGAACAATGAGCTCCGGAGTTTGCACCTCATTTTCAAAAATATTTCTATTTCGAGCAATCCAAAGGAAGTATACTGTAGACGCGGGTCCGGCCTTTGTTGCTTTTGTTCTCCAACCGGAGCCTTGGGATTCCTTCTTAATCCACTTCAATGCACTCTTTGGAGTGGAGAGTTGTCGCCTCAATCCTAGCCAATGCCGGATGGCAAGCCACACTTGGGCCGAAAGGGGGCAAGTGAAAAAGAGATGATCCTTTGTCTCGGAAGCTTCCCCACAAAAGGCACAAGTAAGGTCAATATCAAGGAAGCCAATTCTATCTTTGGTTCGGAGCCTCCCGAGCGTAGCAAACCAAAGAATGAAGGCGTGTTTGGGGGTATTGACGGGCCCCCAAACCACACCCTTCCAAGGGACGGGCGTGCCGTGGGGTCGGAAGAACTCGTAGACGCATGAAGGCCCCTTGGAGAAAGACTTGGAGTCCCAAAGGCTAAGAGTGGCCTCGGCGGCTTGTATGCTACCCAACTTTTCAACTATTATGTTCCGAATGTCATAGAGGTTCTTGAAAAGAGGGGAATCGTTCTTGTGGATGGTCCATTGCCACACGGATTTTTGCTTTAGGTAAACATGATGAACCCAACGGTACCACAAGGTGTCTTTCTTGGCTTGAATATTCCATAGTGTTCGTGCTAGCAAGGTTTGGTTCCACGCTTTGAGGTCCCGAAGCCCTAGGCCTCCCTCCGAACGTGGGAGGGTGACGGTGAGCCAAGCCACCGGCGCCATCTTTGAGCCCCAAAGGAAGCGATGGCATCGTTGGATGATAAGAGAACGGACGGTCGACGGAAGAGGGAAGATAGACAACCAAAAGCATTCCACCCCTTGGAGGACCGATCTAATGAGCTCCACTCTTCCCGCATATAAGAGAGAGAGAGAGAGCGTTCCATCCATTGATGTATTCCGATATTTGATTTATGAGAGGATCAAATTGCCCAACGGTGACTCTTCCCGCCGTGAGTGGGATACCGAGGTACCGAAAAGGCATAGACCCCGGCCGGAGGTTAGTGTCCCGAAGAATTTCCGAATGCTCCATTTGGCCAACTCCCGCCATGTAGATGTTGGACTTTAGGACATTCATTTCCAAGTCCGATTTGGCTCCGAAGTCCCTCAAGCAATCCAATAAGATTTTAATAGAACATGGGTCGCCCCTCGAAAGGAGCATTAAATCATCCACAAAGGCAAGGTGAGAGATTTTAAGAAACTTACATTTCGGGTGATAGTTGAAACCTGACCCGCTAGCCGTGCTCCGGTTCATGAGTCTCGAGAGATACTCCAAGCATATAACAAAGAGGTAAGGCGAGAGCGGATCTCCTTGTCTCAACCCTTTGGCACTTTTGAAGTGGCCACAAAGCGAACCATTTATAGAGATTGAGTATGAAGTCGTGGTGACACACTCCATAATCCAATTAATAAAGGTTGTCGGAAATTCAAGTCCAAGAAGAACTTGCCTGAAGAAAGCCCAAGAGATAGAATCGAAAGCCTTACGAAGGTCTATCTTGATAGTGCACCTCGGGGAGATCCTCTTTCGCATGTATTGCCGGAGTAATTCTTGCATGAGGTGAATATTATCGGACATGTTCCTACCCCTCACAAATGCGGCTTGAGCTCCATCAATGATTGAGTCGAGAATGGAGCTAATGCGCTGAGCAATAATTTTCGAGCAAATTTTGTAAGTAGTGTTGCAACACGCGATCGGTCAGAAATCCGATACTTGGGACGCGTAGGGGCCCTTGCGGACCATAACTAAGGTAGTATGGTTCCATTGCTTGAGTAGGCGCCCATTTCTAAAGAACTTTTGCACGGCCAAGGTGAGATCCTTCCCAACTATGTCCCAACTTTTCTGAAAAAATGATGAAGTGTACCCGTCTGGGCCGGGGGCTTTGCCGCTTTCGATGCCTTCAAGAGCGGCTTTGATTTTGTTTTTGGAAACTGGAGCAAGGAGGGCATGATGGTGCTCATGAGAGAGAAGTGGGCCATGTCGGATGATCTCGGGATCAATATCATCGGTCGGAGTCTCGATACCAAGGAGTCTTTCGAAGTGGGAGACAAACTCCTTGGACACCTCATCGAGAGAAGTGATCGAATACCCATTTTCTTTCGATATAGAGGCAATGAAATTCTTCTTGGCATTTCTTTTGACAAGGGCGTGTGTAACACCCCACCTTACTAGTAAATCAGAGTAGCGCATTTATTCGCAAAGTCTTTGAAAACTAAAACATTTTTACTTTGCGAAACTGATTTGGGGTGCTACCGTGAAAATCTTTACTTAACCTTAGTGCGACCCCGATCATGTTATTCCTCAGTCAGATATTCAGATTCAGTCAGATCTTTCGTACGAGGAGCATCCGGTAGCTGTTCTGGACCGTCAGGTTCGTCGGCTTCGGAAGCGAGATATTCCCCTCGTGCGCATTCAGTGGGATCGCCACGGAGCTACTTGGGAGGAAGAGTCCGATATTCGCGCTCGTTTTCCAGATTTTCAGTTTTGATGTATTTCATGTTTATGTCTTTTCATGTATTTTTCAGTTATGTTCAGAATTTCCGAGGACGGAAATTTTGTAAGGAGGGAGGATTGTAATATCCCGACTTTTATCAGTATAATAATATTTCAGTTCCGATATTATTTTCGGAAGTATTTATTTTCAGTTATTTCAGTCGAAATTACCGGAAAATATTTTCGACGTACCGTCTACGTTCGAAATAATTTTGGTGATTTAGCATTATGTTTAATTGGATGATTAAACATAATTAAGTGATTAATTTAATTTAATCACGAGATTAGTAATTGTTCGGATTTTATTCCGAGTTCATGTTCATCGCCGTGCGTTGGGTGCATTCATGTCGTGTGCGAGTTTCGGTCCGAGTTCACGTGTGCATGCCGTGTCCGTGCGTTTCGTTCATGAGTGCCGTGCGAGTAGTTGTGCGGGCGGAGTGTCCGAGACCGTGCGTGTCTTGTCCTTTTGCTAGCCATGAAGACCGCGCCACTCCTTTGTCATGTTACCAACATTTTGTCCAAGATTCCAAGGCATTGTGCATAGAGGCCGTGCACCTTTTGTCCTTGCTTGCCCGAGATTCCGTGCCATTTTTGTGGGTTAGTGCATTGTCTTATTTTTGCCGTGCATGTGAGCATCTTTCTTAAAATGCCGTGCAATTTTGTTGGCCATCACGTGAGAATAAGACAATTTCTTAGTGCATGAGTGAGCTTTGACCGAACCCCTCTTTTCCTCCGCCCACATCTTTCGGTTTTTAAGGGTGACTTGGGAGAGTGATTTCATTTTTACACCCTTTCATTCACTAAGTGCCGAGAGGTTAAATTTTGTTGTGAGTGCATTGCATTTTGTGAGAATTGTTGGAGTTGTTCGGGAGATTTGCCGAGAGCGCCGCACGCCGCGAGCCATCGCACGGAAGGCCGAGAGCGCACACATCGCACACCATCGCACGCGGAAGGTCATCGCACGGGAGTTTGAGAACTAGTCTTTACGACTTGCAAGAGGTAAGTTCCTGTCAATTGTTGCCGAGAATATTATGTTCATTCGAGATTAATTGTTAAAAAGGTCATGCATGTGTATTATAACTATTGCCGTGCGGTCATGTTATATTTTAAATAAATTTATCCGAACCATGTTATGTTTTTCATGGGATTCCCCGAGCAATCTTGCATGCTTAATTTTTATGTGCAATATCATGTTTAATTTAGCCTTAAGGTTCGGATGATATGTCATGTTTGAAATGTTTGGCCGAGGATAACGTGGTCGCGCACGTAGCTCACCACGGGCCGTGCATACTTGCTAGTATATGTTAAGTTATTTTTCCTCCGACCATTATTGCATGCGTAGCTTTTATATGTTATATCATGTCTAAATTGAACTTAAGTGTTCGGATGAATTAGTCTTGTTATTGAGGTTGGCCGAGAAAGGGGGTGGTCGCACACGTAGTGCGCACCACGGCCACCCAAGTTCCATTGCATGT